GTCCTGTTCATCGGGAGGGGTGTGGCATACCGCAAACGGGACTCCACGGGATACTGTTCATCTCCATCGTCGACCTCCTCCAGCCTCCACGAGCTACTGTTCATCCACCATCGACCTCCTCCAGCCTCCACCTGTTACTGTTCATCCACGGGCTCCAGTTCATCCAGCCTCCACCGGCTACTGTTCAACCAGCCCTCTTCACGGGGTCCTGTTCAACCACCCCTCCACGAGCTACTGTTCATCCAGCCCTCCACTGGCTACTGTTCAACCAGCCCTCCACCAGCTACTTTTCAACCAGCCCTCCACGGGGTCCTGTTCATCCACCGGCTCGATTGATCGGGGTACTGTTCATCCAGCGGCAACGGCCTCTACTACCACGGGGTCGTGTTCATCCAACCCCCCACTGGGAACAGTTCATCCAAACCCAACAACAATGCTCACTGTTCATCAAGAGGCAGCATCGATCAACTTCAGTTAGCAGCAGTAGCGAAGGAATCACTCGGGTTCATTTAATGGCAAGGGATCAATCGATCGCCCGGGTTCAGTAACGCGTAGCCTGCAGTGCAATCGCTCGGGTTCAGTTAGAGCGCAACGCCTCGCACACACGCGGGTACGTACGAGAGAAACGCGCATCACTCGGCCCTGACCACCCGCCGTAACCAGGAAGTCCCCCGATATTTTCCTCGCCCTCGCTTCTACCACGGTTTTCTCCGTCATGGATGGCCCAAAGAATGTCATGCAGCTGCGTCTCCGGCCCGCCCAGGATGAAAAGCCCATTTTCTATCATGATTTTTTATCATAGAAGTAGGAACCCAACACATCTATGATGATACCGGGTTCTGTCACAATTATCATCATAGAAGTGTCATAAGCATGACATAATTTTTTTCGTTCGGCCCAAAATGTCACGGATGTGTATTTTTTTGTAGTGAAGGATCAAATCTCGTAGTGACAGATATGTAAAATAAAATAACAGTAATAAAATTGCAGGAAGGTATTTTTTGGTTTTATATATGGTAAAAGTAGACCTCGGGGCCATAATTATCACTAGAGGCTTCTCTCTCGAACAAAACACATATGGTGGGTAAAAAAATTACTGTTGGACAATTGATAGAAAAGCGCATAGTCATGGTGATATTCAAGTCAACGATCATGTATATAGGCATCATGTCTGAGACAAGTAGACAGACTCCTGCCTACATCACCTACTATTACTCAACCCATCAACCGCTATCCAGCATGCATCTAGAGTATTAAGTTAGTAAAAATGGAATAATGCCTTAAACAAGATGACATGATGTAGATAAAGTAAATCAAACCAATATGAATAAACCCCGTCGTTTTCCTCTTAATGGCAAAAATACAAATACATGTCTTGTCTCCTACTTTGTCACTGGGATATAGAGCAAGATTGAAACCATTACAAAGCACCACTCCCATTGCAAGATAAATCAATCTAGTTAGCTAAACCAAACAGATGGATTGGAGAGAAATACAAAGCTATAATAATCATGTATAAAAGAATTCATAGACGATTAATTCATGACTAATCTGATGATAAACCCACAATTCATCGGATCCCAACAAACACACCGCAAAAGAAGATTACATCGTATAGAACTCCAAGAACATCGAGGAGAACATTGTATTGAAGATCAAAGAGAGAGAAGAAGCCATCTAGCTACTAGCTATGGACCCGTAGGTATGTGGTGAACTACTCACACATCATCAGAAGGGCAATAATATTGATGTGGAAGCCCTCTGTGATCAATTTCCCCTCCCGCAGAGTACTAGAAAAGGCCTCTAGATGGGATCGCGAAAGAACAGAAACTTGCGGCAGGGGAACAAGTATTTTGGGTGGCTCTTTGTTGATTTCCCGATTTCAAAGAATTTATAGAGGTGAAATTAGGTCAGACGGAGCCACGAGGAGCCCACAAGGCATAAGGGCGCTCCCTGTTGCCTCGCTGGCTCCTCGTTTGCCTTCTGGTCTCCTCCCGATGCTTCTAGGGTCTCTCTTGTCCAGAAAAAAATGTCAAAAAGTTTGTAGCGTTGTGACTTCGTTTGATACCAATTTCTTGGAAAACTAAAAACAACAACTGGCACTTGGCACTGGGTTAATATGTTAGTCCCAAAAAAGATATATAGTTGCATATAAAACATCAAAGATTTATACTATAATAGCATGGAACAATAAAAAATTATAGATACGTTGGAGACGTATCAACCTGCGTGTAAAAACAACATTAGTGACAAATGGCTGGCTAATACGTCTCAAGCATGTCTACATTTCGAAACACTTTGTAGCACCCAAGATGCGATTCTATCCCAATCACGTGATGGATTCATGATTGGGGCGCAACCGCATTTCGAGCGCATAGCAAGGTGGACATCATTACAACGTACCATGTACTGAATAGATGAGAATACAAGATAAAGTCTTACACTCACCGCAAGTTACAACATGAATACAACAGTTCATCAATCATAGCAATCATCGTACAAAAGAGCAGGATCCGACTACGGATGAAACCAAACGAAAGAGAAGAACGACATCCACCTTGCTAATCCCAGGTTCCCCGACCCTGAACCTATCCCTTGATCGAAGAAGAAGAAGTAGAAGAATTCCAAACAAGCAAGCATTGCACTCACGTTAGATCATCGCATTACCTTTACCTGCAATTGTTGTTGTAGTAATCTATGAGCCATGAAGACTCAACAATCCCATTACCATGGGTATCAAGACTAGAAAAGCTTAATGGGTATGGAGTGGATAAGCGGTGAGGTTGCAGCAAGCGACTAAGCATTGTATGGTGGCTCCCTTGCGAGTACAAGAGTAAGATGAGAAACTACGCAAATGGTCGTAAACTAGTAATGATCAAGAAGTGATCCTGAACTACTTATGTTCAAGCATAACCCCACTGTGTTCTCTTCTCGACTCCCTTGAAAAGAGGCCGTCACGGTTACGCACACAGTTGGTGTATTTTAATTGAGTTTAGTTCAAGTCCACTACAACCGAATATAAAAAATTCCCATCTGCCACATAACTGTGGGCACGGCTCCCGAAAGTTTAAACCCTACAAGGGTGACCCAACTTAGCCCATGACAAGCTCATGACCCACGGAGACAATCCTCCATCGCTGGACCCTCCAATCAGACTCGGAATCCCGGTGCACAAGACATTTCAACAATGGTAAAACAAGTCTAGCATGACCTCCCGGCATGCCGACACCCTGATAGTAGCCGTGCGTATCTCGTCTTAGGCCTCGTACGGATGGGAAAGCCTACGAATAAAACCAGATCCTCGGGTTGCCCCGTGGTGGCCTCGTAGTCTGCCCGTTTGGGACCAACACCATTAGGACTGCCCCCCTGTATTATGTTAAAAGAATCCTCGAGTATGCGACCCCCTATGCTAATTATTTAATTATCAGGTTTAGTTATTATGTTGGGCAAATGGTAAAACCAATGTTGGGTCTTGCTGGAAGAGTTTTATTCAAAGCGAACTATCAAGGGGGCCCATAAACCCTCATCGTGTTAGGGACGCAAAATCAAGGAACATAACACCGGTATGATGGAAACTAAGGCGGCAACAGTGGAACAAAACACCAGGCAAAAGGCCGAGCCTTCCACCCTTTACAAGTATATAGATGCATTAATTAAATAAGAGATATTTTGATATCCCATGATATCCATGTCCAAACATGGAACAACCTGCACTGCACCTACAACTAGCAACGCTATAAGAGGGGCTGAGCAAAGCGGTAACATAGCCAAACAATAGTTTGTTGGGATGGTGAAAAGGTTAGAGGGTGCTTCATGACATATTGGGAGGCTTGATAAACAAGTGGTAGGTTGCGCGACATAGCGATAACAACGAGACAACAAGCATAGCAAAGATAGTAGTGAGATCCAAGGTGACAGTCATCTTGCCTGAAATCCCGCTAGGAAGAAGACCGAATCCATGAAGTAGACAAACCAAAGTATTCGAACGAATCCTCACAATCGCAACATAACCGGAACTATGAAGGACAAGCGCAACTAGAAAGAAGCAAACAATATAGTGAACAAACAAGCACAATCATGGCATGATGCACAATCAAATATGACGCATGTCCATTTTAATGAGGCATGGCATGACAAAGTTTAACAAACAATACTACAAATTAAGTGGAGCTCAATATGCAACGGGTTGCATATTGACGAAACACCACATGCAATTATTTAGTTCACTCCCATTTATGCTACTTATTAATATTAAATGTTGGTTAGCATGGCAAGAAGTGAAGCATAATTAAACTAACTATTTAGGCAAGTTTATATGAGGTCGGAAATAATAAACAACAATTCTGGAAAATCCCCACATGACATTTAGCAATTTAATGCAAACAACAATTTTAAACATTTTAAATGTTGTTAGCATGATGCAGATGACATATTCAAGTTTTATGCAATTTTATGAAAATGTTAATATGAGCATGTGATGAAGCATTTTGTCACCATGGCGGAAAGAAAGGGTGCCACGACAACAAATCCGAAAATGATGCCACGACAACATATCGGTTCTGGTAACTCATGGAGATACCGGTGAAAAAGGAAGTGTGGATGTGCGAAACATGCAAGAGTGATGGGGAGTGATCCTGGTTGCCCAGTGTCCCGCGGGTCGACGACATAGAAAACATGGAGGAACGAGCAAAGGCAACTCGGGCATAGTGCAAACACGAGCATCTGATACAACACACATGCATTCATCCACGAGCGGTCGTCTCGGCGGTTATACCTTCAAAGCATGCAATCAGGATGATTCAGGCTCGATGGGATGTAGAGGGAGTAGACGTTCTCGGGACGGTCTAGTGGAAGTAGTGGTACTCGCGGTCTTGTCGGAGCCATGGTGACAGCAGTGGTACATGGTTCAAAGAGGAACTTGACGACTCTTAGACCTCCTAGGGTTGATGGTAGTCGCACTTCACGGTCTTGGCATTTTGGTGCGGTAGTCATTTGGGTGTCTATGTGGTCTTGCTGGTGGTGTACTTGTCGATATCCGGGGCGGTCTCGACGCATTTGTGTGTAGAGGTACTTGGAAGTTTCATGTAGTCGGTCTTGCCGGTCTTGACGGCTTGACTAGGGCCTTGGTCAACAAGGCAGGTTTTGGTTGTGGCTCCATGCGGCTTGTGCTGCTGGTCGCTCCCTTTGCGAGGTGACTGAACAAAGGCGTCGGTAGGGGAACTCCGGTGCAGAACGCAGCGAGGCAGGGGCACGACGAGGACCTCTGGATCCGGCGAGGAGTCGAACATGGAGGTCGGGGATGGGTCGTTGAGGCTGGATCCAGTACGGAGGAGGTCACTGGCGAGGCAGTGGAAGGCGGGGTGCGGCCTGGTCTTGGTCACATGGATGACGACGAGGTCGGGGCGGTCCGCTGGTGGAGGCGGGACAAAGGACGGGCGGAGCAGAGGAGCTTTGGCAGAAGATAGTGGGTTCCAGCGGGAGCTCCTGCAGGGTGCAGCCGCGGCGAGGGGCGGTCTGAGCAAGGAGATGGGCGCGGGAGGCCGGCGGTTGTGGGCAACGAAGTAGCAGAAGCACGGGCGCCGGGCCATGGCGACAGGGAGACGAGGCTTGGGCGATGCAAAGGTGCAGGGGTTGAGGGGATCAGGCGCGGACGCGTGCGGTGGTGGAAGAGAGTAGGGGAAGGGGTCGCGCGGAGGAAGAAGAACCGCGAGGCGGAGTAGACGGAGGAGGAAGGCGCAGTGGGTCGGCCATGGGAATCGAGGCGAGGAGCTTCTCTCCTGAGCGTGTGTGGCGGCGGCAAGGGAACGAGAGGGAGAGAGTGGAGAGGTCGAGAGATGTGATTAGTCAGGCTAGGGTTATAGGGATCACTAGGCCTTGTGGCTGGGCTGGTGGAGGCCAACTGCTGGGCCTTGGGCTATGAGGGCTGGCTGCAGCGACCTGGAAGCAAGAGAAGGACCCTCCTTCTCTGGTAAAGCAGAACGAAGAAAGGAAACGAGGAGAGGTGAAGAGAGATGCTTGGGCAAGAGGGTATTTTTCTCTGACTCATAAAAAAATAAGGTTGATCTAGGAAGAATAGAAGGGGCATGATTGAGAGACTAAATTCAAACTCCTTCGAATTTAATTCAAATGGGTTTGAACTAGGACTTGGTAAAGGAAGGTCCAAAAATGCTCGGATTTTTGGTGGAGCTTGGATAAGGGCCAAAAGAATTATCGACAAAGTTTGAGATCAAGAAATGAGATAGAAAATACATGGGATTAAATTGCATGTGCGTTTATGCGTGATTCCAATTCAATGGAATGGTTTAATATAGCTCCCTAAATGTTGGGAGGATATGTTATAAAGAGAAATCACCATGTGAATTCCCTCAATTTAAATGGATCAAAGACCCATGCAATTTATTTGAGTTTTAAAACGGTTGCAAAATGACATGATGCAATGCAAATGATGCAATGATGAATGCAACAAACAAATAAAACACATGGCGACAATGGAAATAAATGGAAGGCATCTGGAGTGGCGGTCTTGGGTCGTTACACACTTTTTCTGTCGTTTTGGATTCTAGTTTGCATGATTTGAATGGAACTAATACGGACTGACGCTGGTTTCAACAGAACTAACATGGTGTTATTTTTGTGTAGAAATATAAGTTCTCGGATTGAGCTGAAACTTTAGGGAGAATTTTTCTAGAATATATAAAAAATACTGGTGAAAGGATCTACCGAAGAGGCCACCAGAGAGACACGAGCTCAGGTGCCCCCCCAGGGCGCGCCAAGCAGAAAGAATCGTCGAGTTCTACGATATGGAGCCGCTGCCACCTTGTCGTGGTTTTGTTATGGCAAATGTCCTAGTGTGAGGACTTAGTCGTGAGGCCAACACAATTAGGTAGTAGCTTGAACGGGGTTGGCCGGAACCAAGAGACGTCGGGTTTTACCCAGGTTTGGCCTCTCATGGTGGAGGTAAAAGCCTACATCCTGCTTCATTGATATTGATGATGATGATGCTCATGATTACAAGGGTGCTCTTCGCTACCTCTCTCTCGAGAGCTATTGACTTGTCTATCTTAACTGGTCCCACTTGTGGTGCCTTGCCCCTCCTTATATAAGTTGGAGGGGCGGGTTACATATGGAGTCCTACTAGGACTAGGACTATTCTATTACAAGTGGAATCCTAGTCTTGCTTCTTTGTAAGGGAATACTCCTTATGTCTTTCCTCTTAAGCCGGCCTACCATAACATGAGCCGGCCTACTAAGCCTTATCATCCATCTGACCCACCGTCAAGGTCATTAGTGAGTCGCCAGTCTTCGGGCGGGTTACCGATGAATCTCCAAGTCTCGGTCGGGTCATACCGTAGGGTATATCCCCGACATTAGCCCTCAGTTTAATTTGGATTTATCCATGTTAAACTGATCCTGCAAAATAAACACAAGAACAAATTTGACAGGTTGTGCTCCAAATTAGAAGTTTTTCTCAGCCAGGACCTAATCATCCTTAAGTCCTTGTCATTTCCTTCTTTTGGAAAATCCGGGTCAATAGACCAACTTCATAGTCAATTTGCTTGTAGTAAAATATTGTGAAACCATTTGAATCGCCCTCCAATGCTTTGGTTTGAAAAAACTATTGGTCTTGAAATATTCATTTGATGCTCAGCCGGTTTGAAGATGTATACGTTGCCGAGTTATGATTGCCCAAAATTGTCGGGTTATAAAAACTAATGATTCCAGGTCATCACTGTTATAGACGCCGGGTCATGATTGTTATAGACGTCGGGTCATGATTGTTGCTGACACCGGGTCAATCTTATGGCGACTTGGTACTTGCTTTTGCAAATATAGCTTCCAATCATTCAGTCGGCTCTCCGCGTCCTTCTATGAATAGCTTAGAGGAAATAAACTTTGCAAATTTCTCCAATAACAATATAATACTTGGTTTGCTCAAAACTGAGAATTTGAGGATGTTCCTCCCATATATGCATATCACCTGTAGCCCCCAAGTCTTAAGAGGAGAGTGTAGTGATAGCTTAAGACTTGCTTTAATATAAATGCTACAACTTTGGAGAAATTCGGGTTGTTCATGTAAATCACCAATCATAAACTGAACACTTTGTACTTCCCATGTGTAGCCCCCAAGTGCCGTGTCATTATGCAATAATGAGCAGGGACTTTGTAGATTTGATTATGTAGACTTAAGCAGCAATGTGTAGCCCCTCAGAGTTGGGTCATTATGCAATAATGAGCAGGGACTTTGTATGTACTTCATTGGAAATAAAATCATGTGATATAGCCCCCAAGTTTCGGGTTACCTTTGATATAATGGATTAAGGTCTGTGTACTTTGAATTTTTGACAGGAGTAGTTAGTAGCCCCCAAGGGCCGGCTCATCACTATGTGATGGGTCGGGTCTTCAATGAGTGAGTTAAAAAATGACCTTGCATTAGCCCCCAAGTGCCATGATGCATGCTTGCAGTGGCATGGGACTTGCATACTTGATGTAATCTTAATTTGAATAATATAGCCCCCAAGTGCTGGGTCGTATGCCTGTAGCGACTCGGGACTATTTCTTCCATTGTAGAATAAATCATATCCATTGATGAAGAAATAATAGCCATTGCTCTGGAGCGGCTTTGAAAACCTCAATCATAATACTGGTTATTGATAACCATAATAAAAATCCATCCATGTTGGCTATTAAAGATTTGAATAATATAACCCGGTTTGAAAACCAGTTCCTGCAATATAAACCAATATATCCATCTGTATATGATGCATTGTATGATGATGCAATGTATGATGTATGGTGCAATGTATGATGATGTATGTGTATGATGACAGAGTATAAAAAATGTCGGCTTTCCAAGCTCGAGTCTTACTTCAATGAAACTAACATGATAGCCACTAGTTTATCCTCGCTTTCCGTAAGCTAGCTCTCACATGACCCAATCGATGTTTTAACCTTAACGAGTTCAGGGTCTTATTTAAAAGATTGACTATTAAGAGTGCACGGGGTTGGAGTAGCATCTTGCAAACATGCAGGTTTAACCAAGTTTCAAGGAAGCTGGCTTAATAGCCCGGGTTTATCGTCGCTATCCGTAAGCCGACCCTCACATGACAAACCGCCGTTTTAACCTTAACGAGTTCAGGGTCTTATTTAAAAGATTGACTGTTAAGAGTACGGCGGGTCATTCAGGATTACCTGGTGGAGTAGCATCTTGCATACGTGCAGGATAACCCAGAATTCGTCATTTTATGCCTGGTCAAGAGTGTATGAAAGCTAAACCCGTTGGGTTGGAAGCCCCCAAGTGACCTTGTGAACAAATAATAAAGGCTCAGATGCTTTGAACTAAAATGATAGAGGCCCTGAATTATCAGGGTGTGCCGGCTTTATTATTTTGGTCATAATGTGATAAGCCAATAAGGCATGATACCCATGTTTGAACCATGCATCTTGGAAGCTAGTCCTCTTTGGCAACCTTTAATTTTTTCTGAGAACTCGAACTTGCGAGAGATGAATTCCTCTTGAACCGGATGTTGAGCTGGATATTGAGAGCTCAAAACATTGTGGGAGAGATATTTCCCTTGAGCTGGAATCTTTTCTTATAACCCGAAACTCTTTTATTGTCCCGAAACTTTTTTGATTGCCAGACACTTTTTAAGCCGGAAATTGTCTGACAACCTTTTGAATTTTTCACCAATGTGGCAGTAGCCTCCAGGACCGGGTTATTTTATATCCAATGACCCGTGGTTCTTGAACTTGACCGTGATATAAACTGGCATATAGTTGAACAGCGGAATGCTAAAATTTATGTAAACCAGAAGCTTGAAGTGAGTTGGTGATCCTTGCAATATTTGTTATATACTCCCGGTATGAGTCATTCAACAACTTGACATAATGGTCCGTTTTGCGGTAGACAACTTGTCCTGCATTAAAGAATTTGCAAGCCAGAGTAATTGCTCTTTTAAACAAATTAATATGTAATAAAAAATATACTGGATGGATTTCACCTGATATGTTAGGCCGGAAATTATCCGCCGTGGAGTTGATGATCACTACGGTGAAGATGAAATCAATCATGGGCGAGTCAGCTGCGGGAGCAGACAGATGAGTCGGCCACTGCGTTGTAAGCCGGTGCGGACAGACAAGTCAATCACAGATGCAGTCTCGAGAAGCCGATATAAACCAAACCACAGGGACAACATCTTGCGCACACATTTGTTGAGCATTATGGCACGGTTAGATGCTAGCGCGTGATAATGGTGGCGCGAGCTATATATCCATGACACGACCATCACCTTTGCAGTGAACAACTGTCCTGCATCAAAAAATATCACGAGCTAGAATAATTGATCTCGAATAATTTAATATATACTGAAAAGAGATAGGAAAAATAGCACCTGGTATTTTTTGTTGGATAAATGTGGACGCTGATGATGAATAATGCTGAACACATTATGATGATTTTATGAAGTACCAACACCTGCTTAGTTGTCCTTTTGTTTTTCCTTGGAGGAATCATTGCCTCAGGATATGTGTCACACCCATTGGATCCTTTCCACAAGTAGTACTATTAGTGCTTGGTTGCATGTGTGCCACC